AGTTAAGGAAAAAACAACTTCTTATCTGGTGATTGCATACGAGGCTGCACAGGATGCAGCCTTGCAAGACAAAGAGGAACAAGTTCATTAACAATCTTGTAATGGGTTGAAACAATACATGTGGGTGTTGTCTAAACTTGAGCAACTTCCTCATGTGGTCACTTTGCTCCAGTTAAAGGATTACAGGCACGCTATGTACAGGCATTACTGCGAAATTCAAATAAAGCTAAACATAAGCAATTATCACAGTTGAATAAAGTTAATAAAAGTAATAAAATTAAAAATCTTTTAACAGTTTAATACCAGAAACCAATAAAAGCATCCTCACCGATCTGGCTGATCAGCTGTCTAAACTGGTCCAGGTAGCTCTGTCCATCAGGAGTGATGCCCAGTTTCCTGATGCCACGGTTAAACTTCTCTGCTCGCTCAAACGGATACTGTAACAACAAGACAAGACATATGGCACTGTGAGAGCTTAGCCCGAACAATGACAGCTCTACTTTTACTCCCTGGCTCCAGGGTCTTCCCCCTCTGCCAAACTTCTGTTCACTTAAAATGACTGAAAATGGAAAGACAGAGAAGACTGCACCTTCTGATCAGACTGGTCCTTTGTTTCTCTGAAGAAACGTATGTCTTTGATGAGTCTGGACTTGATGTGTTCGTCGTACATAAACTGACTGAAGATGTAAAACTTCTTTTGCAGAAACTGGTAGGTGAAATTCACCTGACGGAAGAATAGAGGAAATATAAAACAAGCCTTACATCCACATACGAGAATGTCAAAACACATGTTGTCGTTTTCTGCTGGAAACTCACAGTGGTGTTCATGATTCCTGTACCGTGTGTTCGGATGGAGTTGGCGATGTGACGGATGTTGATGGTGTTCAAGTGCTTGTTGTTGCTCGCCTTCTCAATGAAGATCTGTCACAAAAACAATTGTAACTGCAGAGGCAGCAACACTTTGTGATTCAATGGGAGAAAAAAAACATATGGACTCTGACCTGGTTGTTGAGGTTATAAAGGTATCGTGAGACAAAAACATGAATGTTCCTCATGATCTCCAAAACATCCAAACCCTGGTGAGAACACAAGGAGGATTTAGTTAATTTGTCTATGTAAATCTCCACCTCTGCTCATGAGGAGGGAGGTGGAACCAAACAGACCTGCTCTAGTGTCTGGCTGGGCAGATGAGCCTCTGTCATTGTGAGTCCATAGCGCTGTGTAGCAAGGTTTCTCATCTCACTGTAGGTGGCCCAGTCATGCAGAGCGACGGTCGTCAGGTTGTAGAACGTTTTATCCAGGTAGTGCGTCACATAGGCTGTAGGACATTAAAAACCTTACAGTATTGCAGTAAACAGTTTACTGTTAAAGAAACATTCATGCAAAGAACAAATCACTTATGGAGGACCTTTTTATATTTACTATAACTTGGGACTAAGTCACCAGAAAGCAATAGCAGCAACCTTCAGAGAGCAAAAAGGGATGTTTGTATTGTGCTTTTCTGCAATGCAATGCAAAAAACGTGTGTGCAGCAGCACAGAATGGCACAAAACAAGAGTTTAGTTCATGTTGTTGGTGCATAAGAAGTCACTGTACTGTTAAA